TATATATATATATATATATATATATATATATATATATATATATATATATATATATATATATATATGTTAGGTACCCGTGAAATAAAATAAAATAAAACAAAACAAAACAAACCAAACCAAACCAAAACAAAACCAAAACAAAAAGCAAAACCAAAGAACAGAACAAAACAAAAAAAAATAAAACAGAAAAAAAAAATAAAAAAAAACAAACCTGAGGCAACCATTTGTTTTTTTGTGTTTGTGTGCCTGCAGCTGCAATGGCGCTCATTGCGAGGCCAGAATGAACGACAGCAAAAGTAAAGAGAGAAGCATCCACCCGCGCCAGCTCGACTGCAACCAGTGTTGCTTCTACGTTGCTTAGACCTGGGCACCCTGCAGCAGCAGCAGCAGCAGCAGTAGCAGCAGCAGCAGCAGCAGCAGTGGCGGGGAAAAGGAAGAGCAGCAATAGACAGAGAAAAAACAGAAAAAACGCAAATTTCATATTTCTATTTTACCTTATAAACAAAATAAACCAGCCGATACAAAACTAAATCTCCTGTTGCTTTTTCTCCTACTACTACTACTCCTACTGCTGCTGCTGCTGCTGCTGCTGCTGCTGCTGCTGGTGCTGCTGCTGCTGGTGCTGCTGCTGCTGACCGTATCCTTTGATTTGTAGACCAGCCGGACCAATGGCTCTGCATGCATCGAGGAGCCGGCGATCGAATGCGGCTGTCTCCCACAGCTGCGCAGCAATGGGGGCTATCTGCGTTTCACAAATATCTCTGACTCGTCGACGTAGCTCTTCTTCAGCAGCAGATAGGTCCTTGCTCAGCTCCAGGAAAGAGAAAGCGTCCAGTACTATACACCAGAGCATCAACACACACACACAATATTTCTGTTTTTTTTCTAGCTTTTTTTGTATAGGCATGGGTGTGTAAGCGTGCATAGGGCTCAATGCAGGTAAGGGGAATATGTGCAGCCACAGTGGAAAGATGAGGTGTATACGCAGCTGCAGCTGCGACCGCATCCGCCTTACGCTTATGAGGTTGCCTCGGTGGGGGCTTTGCTGCACCAGACACGGGCTCCTGCTGCTGCTGCTGCTGCTGCTGCTGCTGCTGCTGGCGTTCTGTTGAAGGCTCCATTTTGTGGCGAAGGAGAAGAGGAGGAGAAGAGAGGGGAAGGGAAAGGAAGCACGAGGCAGCGGCCGGCGTGTGGGGCCAGGGGGGGCAGCAGATGCAGAATCAGCGGTGAAAATGGAAGAAATATGAAACTACAAACACTTATAAGTTGACAAAGCAAAGAAATAAAACAAAATGCAAAGGATTAAACAAAAAACAAGTGACAGCTGCTACCGCTTTCCTCACCGCGCCGCACATTGAGGTGTACATACACCTCACGGACCAGTGGAAAGCGACCGCAGCCGACGGGCGCCAGGCGGCGGCGAATCTGTATTTTTTTGTGAAATTCAGAATAAATATATTTTATTAATTAATTTAATTAAATATATTTCAAAAGATTAACAATATTTCGCGGCGTTTTCCGCCTGCTTTTTATATTGCAAATTCGCTCGCTTTCTGCGCCCCATGGTGCAACGGCCGTAGAAGCCGACAACAGCTGTCGCCTTCATGGCCGCCTGAGGATGAAATAAAGAAATTTTTTTAAATATTTAATTATTAAATTAATTTATTTTGACAATTTTATCGAATATTCACAAACTATGGGGTTTAATCCCGGCTTATCGAGGCAGCTTCCTCCTCTTTCGTTTGCTCTGCCGCCGCTGCAGCCACCTCCTTCTGATAATAAGAACGCCTCTAAAGAAATAAAATAAAAATAAAAATTAAATAGCCAATAGATGAATGTTGTTGTTGTTGCTGCTGCTGCTGCTGCTGTTGCTGTCGTGTACGTATCGTTTCAGTGCTAATTAAATATCCTTACAAATAAAGCAAATGGCTGTTCTCGTTGTTGTGTGTGTTTTGTATTTGTTTACACTGTCTGAACCAAAAGAAATAAAACAATTAACAAAATTATATTGTTTTTGTTTTGTTGTTTTGTTTTTTTGTGAAGCCAAAGAAAACCCGAAAAACGAATTCAAGAGGAGAAGTAAAGACACCAGATGCTGTTTTGTTTGTTTTATATTACCCTTTTTTGTTATTTGTTTGTTTTTGTTTTGTTTTATTATAAACCTGTTTATAATTTGTTTATTTTATATTTCGTTATAGACTCACTCGTGTGTTGTTTGTTTGTTTTGTATGTTTCTATAACCTGTACATAATTTATTTTTGTTTTTCTTTCTGTTTTTTTTCTTTCTTTTTTTCTTTTTTTGGTTTCTCTCTATCATTTTTTTCTTTAGCTTTATTCGGATCTTCTCCTCTTTTTATTTTTCTTGTATCTGCCACTTGGTGTATATATTGTGTTTGTTGTTTATTTTTTTTGGTTTCTGTTTGTTCTTCTTGTGTATTTGTTTTATTTTTTTCATTTATATCTGTCTGTGGTGGTTTATTTTTAAGATAATATTCAGCTGACTGTGTATATTTGGGGTGTATATACACCGGGAGCGCGGGTGTATTGGTAGCTTGTATATGAATAGTAGTGATGGTATTTCTCCACTTATTGTTTTCTTTAAAAAAACTATAAACCCCCTCAATAGCAGCAACAGCATTCATATATATCTCATCGGGGGCCCCCAATGCCTTACCTATACGCACAGCAACAGAGGGGCCCCTCCTTATAACCAGGGGGGTACTCTTATAAGCCTTCAGCACTTCTCGCTGCAGCGTAGAGGTCCCCACACGTATAGGCAAAGGAAGCCTGAAATAAACACAATAAAATATAATATATTTATATTTATTTATTTATTTGTTTGTTTGTATGTGTGTATCATAATATAATATAGGTATGCGGGTGGATGTATACTAAAAAAAGAAAAAAAAAAGAAAAAAATGAATGCTGCTGCTGCTGCTGCTGATGGTGCTGATGCTGCATGCAGATAAGCTACACAGCAGCAGACAAAAAAAACGAAAGAAACACGAGCAGATAAACACAAAGAAAAGGAGAGAGATATATGAAAAAGAAAAGAAAAGGAAGAGCAAATGAGGGTAAGAAGGAGACAAATAAAACAAGAAAGAGACAAGTAGAAGAAATAGGTGGATAGGTACAGAGACACAGACAAAAAAGGAAACAAAAAAAAAAAAGAAAGCAGAAACAAAAAGATGGAGAGACAGATATAGATAGATATAGATATATATAGATAGATAGATAGATAGGTAGATAGATAGATAGATAGATAGATAGGTAGATAGATATATAGATAGATAAACAAATAAATAAATAAATAAATAAATAAGTAAATAAATAGGAAGCAAAAATAAATAAAGAAGAATAGCACGAATAAAGACAACGACGAGAGGAACATATATAACAGAAGAAGAAACGCAACTAAAAAAAAAAAGTAAAAAAAAAAAATAAATAAATAAATAAATTCATACTTGTTTGCGCTGTGAAAGATTTTCCCGAGTGTATTATAAACTTTTTCTTTGACGGTGGTATCAACGAGAAAGAGGTCATAAGCATTGCATAGATTTCTTTTATCTATAAACTGAGGATATTTCTTTGGTAGTTTTTTATAAGATATAACTCGAGAAACAAAAGATAAAGAAGAAGCGCATGCAGCCACAGCATCTTTCCACTTTCGCTGCGGGTCTCGTACTATTAAACAAGCCTCAGCTGTGGCGTCGTGCGGGCTGTGCGGTAGCTTGCTGAGAAACAGAAACAAATACAAGAAGAAAACAACAAAAAATAAATTAAATAATATTAAATTCAACAATAATAATTATTATAATATAGAAAAGTAAGAACGAAGGAGGAGGGGTGCTGGAAACGGGTGGCGATACAGCAGCAGAAGAACAGAAGAAAGGTTTCTGGTCAGTTTCTGTAGTTTTCAGTGTGAGATAGAAG